TATATATATATCTTTCTCTTCTTATCTTTACGTTACAGTCAATATTTCGAATGCGATCAAAGTCCTCGTGTGTACCATAGTTGTGAAACTGTTGCTACATGCGTCCAAAATAGGCCATCGTAATTGCGCTGTCATTATTTCGATGCACAAATTAAAAATGTATTTGCAAATTTATGTGAATTTTACGAATCCGAAAGACCGTCGATTGGTCCTGAAAAATGAGCGGCACACTACAGATTTATGATAATCAAGCATATTGTGCTGGCATGTCCATTTGCTATGCCCAGTTTGAAAATGAGATGAGTTGAGACTCTTTTAAATAATAATACAATTGTACATCATCGGTGTTTCTATTTGATCTATTCAAATCTATTGTATGTCATGAGATTTAACTCGTATCATTCAGAATAAATAAATCGCATACGTATTATCGGACGCTGATCGATTCTTTTCAGAGAACTATCCCTAAGCTCTGAATCCTTGCCGCCGCAGAATCCGTGTCGATGAACGTATGACGCAACATTGCACATTAATAATAGCATTGCTCGTTAATATACATATGTACAGTGGCAATATAATACTTTCTCGAGTTTCTAGTTAGTTCATCCACCACGTCTTGCACTTTTTCGTTACTATTTAATTGCGATTCACTATTTAATTGCGTCACTATTTAATTGCGAAAATCTTTCCCGTATTCTACACGTGAGAGAGAATATCGCTCTCTCCACTGAAATCTCGTGATAATCAACGTTCCAATTCCATCAACATTTGTCGCGAATACAAGTGCCAAATTTGCACTTTGTATTTGGAACATTTCTAATACTAATGAAAATTTTTCTCATTGTTAGAATTTTTATACAAATTAACACTTTTCAGAAATACTGAAAAAGTTTACATTTTTCATATACATAAACTCTGAAATATTCTAAGATTTTCTTGTTCTTTAATTTCTGAAAAAATTTTTTTCAAATTTTATAAAATTTTATCAAAAATTATAGAATGAGAAATCTTAAATACTTAGAATTTACATACATGAAGAATTTCAGAAAAGATGTAGATCTACCAATTTTTTCGATATTTTTAAAAAAACTTTGAAATTTACATAAAAATTATAAAAAATTATATAAAAAATTTTAAGAAAAAAGGGAACGCGAATTCAATACGTTTCGCCAAATTCGATCGCAATTTCGTCACGAATCCCATGCAATGTAAACGACGAACATTGTTTTGGAAAATTTGGAACATTGTTTAGAAAAATATGCTAATTTCTTTCTCATAATTCGAAAGCTGTTCGTCCAATCTCTACTTGTTCGGTCTTCTCTCTGTGCGAGTGTAAATACTCTGCTAAACTAGTCCGTTAAACTATAAATTGGTTGAATCATTACGAACAGTATTAAGTTATTCTTCAAGCTTCACGAATATACTTCACATACTATTTCTTCACAACTAGTAATTTTATGCCTTTTGTCATGGATCGTAACTTATTTTGTTATAGTAGACGATACAACAAATTGCGATTTACAATTATAATTAGATCATTAAATAATTTAGTATTTTTGCACTAAAACAAATCGATACTGCTCGTAATATATGTATCTTTATCTGCCGTTTCAACTCCCGCGGTACACGAAAGATACACATTCAGCTTTATTGCATACAGATTCGAAAAATAATTTTATAACGGTTTCGGAAAGAGAATTTAACTCTATTGTGTAAATTAACTCAGTTATTTGGTTAGCTATTCAGACAATCGCTAATTATTATCGTTGAATTGACATTCTTCGATGATTACAATGTCGCAAAGAATCAAGCGATGAGAGGAAATTTAAGCAGTCCTGTTATTGCTTAAATAAAAGACTTGTACGTCCTTACAGAAAAGACAATATTAAGAGGCCGATTTTTCTCCATAAAGGTGTAAAAGAAAGAGCGTTTTTTATAGATTTTGATTTCTTGAATACGATAATATTAATAAAAAGTTCGGGATCGATAAGGACCCTGAAAATTGAGCATGAACATAATATATTTTGAACAAATTTCAATATTCTTACTTACTTTTCAAGATGTTTCCCAAATGTCACGAACTTTTTAATAATTTTATCATATTCAGGAGATCAAAATCTATGAAAAATACTATTTCTTTTACTTATATCGTTTTGGGCAAAAATCTGTCCTTTTTTGGAGAATATTAAAAAAGATTCGATTTTACTAAGAAATTGCTACAGAAAGCGATTAATTACTTATTTTGAATATTAAACACTGTTATTCAATACTTTTATTAATCAAAATAATTTCCAATATTAAATTGGATATATGTAAGAGAGAGCAGCCGTAAATAGCGTTGCTAAATTTCTTTTGATACGAATTTCCACGAATTATTGTATGAAATTCAGCTTCAAATATGATCTAAAAAAGAGGTGATATTTGCTTTTGGCACGGGACGTATACAATCGACAAGCAATTTGGTATATATATGCGTGACGATACAATTCTTGCTGATTTAAAATTCAAGCTCGCTCAATGTATTCAATGAATTATTTTTTACTCTTTTCTTCCTTTCTGTAAACTTTACGGCAATGCGGAATTCTTTTGCCAATGTAACGGTAGAACTTCCATCTTGCACGATGGTCTCGTATGCGAGTGTGTGTACTTACGAGAATATATTACTATAAAGTATACAAAATATGAATGGCTATTTGAATAGGATAGAGGTACTTTCTCCCCAAGATTCCTTTCTATACATAAAAGCTACGAGTGATTTCAGCGTTAATTTGCAACACTCAAGCAATGCTCAGGTATAATATTCTTATCACAATATTGTCATACATCTCAAATCATTTCACTCTCTTCCTCTTTCACTAGCTCTCTTTTTAAAATTATCGATACATGAATTTTACGCAATTTTTAACAGACATTTTTCTTAATTCGTAAATTATTTAGAATAAAACGTTATCATGTACACAACAACGATAATTATTTGCTTATTCATTCAAATCGTTCTTTCTCGTAATCTTTTACACACATACACACACACACACACACACACACACACATGTATGTATATGTATCCATTTTTATTCTGTTTCTGATAAAATATAAGTTAAAACATTCTTTGAGAGAAATCTGACTTTTCCGATATCTCCAATGTATAACATTCTTGTGTGCAGCACTCGTTTTATAGAACTTAGCATCCAATAGCAATAAAGGAATTATTGATAACACATTCTGATAATAATGTTAATAAAGTATATATATATATGATAAAATCTTTCTGTAAATTATTTTTAATGTCATTAAGAAATTGATGTATTATCTCTCCTGCATAGTATGAGAGATGAACGATTGATTTATATTCATAAACGATAGTTTTGATGTCGGTTATCATTCGTCTCGGTTATTATTCAATTATCGCGTGACGATATGTCACGAATGTTTAAGAAAACTGTTTGTAATATTTGAGTTGACAAAAAAATTCAATTGTATAAAAAAAACTATACAAAAATATCATTTTAGTGGTTCTCGTATCTCTTTTCTACCTTTTTTATGAAGACATGAAGTTATGAGATCTATTAACTATAATAATTATAATAATTATAAAATTATCTTAGTAATATGTTCTGTGACTTGATTACAATAACATAAAAACATAGTCAAAAAGTAATATATTAGACTTCGATTTACGTCTGCAAATAAAATTGTTAACCATCTCGATGCATGATGAAAATAAAAATATATACATATACTTTTCACCTCTGAAAGTATTCAACAAGAAATCAATATTTCTTCATAACGTTTATATAGGTACAAATATCTATGTCGTAAAAATTTTGAATCATTTCCCCTTGCTTTCTGTCGAATAAATTTTCTTTTACTCGAAGTTATTGTTAGATTTTCACCGACATGAGTACAACAGCATTAAATAATTAACAAATAATTATCCGTGAATCATTGTAGGATATAGCACGAACGTAGATTTTGTCTCTCTTAATTTCAACATGTATATATACATATTCTGTTGCATAATGTACAGCAGAATATAAATCAGGATCTATTAAAGTTAATCATTGTCGTTATCACATGTATGACTTCTACTGCCATAAATATATGTAATGTTATCTACATCCATCCATAAAACTTATATTGCTGATGTACATAAATATGGAAATACATTAATTATTACAAGAGATAGATTCTTGAGTATTTGTAGCAGAAAATAATGAGTCACTAAGCGCGACTTAATCGTGTAGAAAAATATGATTTTTATTAAAATCCATTCTACACGTCAGCAATATAAGTTTTTATCGTCTCTAAAGATTGTCCTGCATTATGAATATTACCGAGAGATGTACTTTCTATGTTTGCCTTTCAACCGTTCATACAAATACATATATAAGATGTCAATGAGAAGAATCGGCATTTAAGTAACAGCGAGATACAATAATGCGCATAATTATTGTTCTTAATCTAGAAATATAGCATGGTCGTACAAAATATTCTTTGTAAGATTATTAATTCGTAAAGACGCAAAACGTAAATGGCATAAGTACCATTCAGAACTTATAAAACTATGATACATATCCTCTATATATATATATATATATATATATATATATATATATATATAAAGTTACATTACACAAATAAAATATAATACCCTATTATGGATATGCGAAAAGGTATCTATGAAACTTAATATGTATACAAGAATTGCCTGAAAATTATGACTTATGTCACTCTTGTTAAATGCAAGATAGTGTGGGTTACAAGAAATGAAAAACATACAAAAAAATCTTCGTATTTTCATGTCATTTCCAAGTCATGACAACTAAAAAGTCGTAATTGAATAACCTAAGTTTGATTGATGTTATGTACAAGGGAAAAGGAACGATTTGGTCAGGTGGTGATTAACAAGTCATTTGAAACACACCTGATTTGCCGAAAGCGACAAACGCCCTTTGGACCGAATAGAATTCTCACTCTATTCTTTTTTGCAAGGAGTAATATCATTAGCGTTATACGCAATTATCCTCAATTATCTTTACGAGCCTTTTTTTTACTTTTTTTCTGTGGTTTTGCTTCTGTCCAAACGTCTAGAACACAAATTACAAGTAATTTAAATAAAATTACACAATTCGAAAATCTCGTAATTTCCTCGTTAATGCAACAAACCTCCTAATTCGTCGAATACGACGGTTTTCTCTTGTTTTTCTACCACTTTATTTTCTTCCACATTGTTTACTTTCTCGGCATTCGCTGGCTTTTTCTGCTGCTCTTCCGCGGTAGGCTTATTATCTATCTTTGGTGTAGATGGTACTGAAGCGGGTGTGTTCTCGCCTTCAGAAGTTTTCTTATTCTTTTTTGATTTTCCAGATTTTTTCTCTTCCTTCTCGACTTTTTCGATCTGCGATCAAATGTTTCATTTATGGATTATCAACAGAAAAGTTTTAATACTATGTAAAATAAAGTTATACCTTGCTCTGTTCTTCTTTCTGTGGCTCCTTAGTTTTATTTATCTCTTCGCTGGAAATAGATGTGAGAATCACTTCCATTTTCTCCTTTTCCTTGAGCTCCTTATTTTCAGTTTCCTTGGCAATCTTATCCTTAATCTCGGGCTTCTCTTGTTCTTTCTGTTTAGCTTCATTTATTAAATCAGTCTTCTTAGGAGCTTTCTTGTTTTTCTTCGAAGGAGATTCTTCTTCCTTCTTCTTGTTCTTCTTATCCTTGCGTGAATAAGCTTGCTCCCAATCTCCTGTTATCAATTATTAATGTTGACAACGATAGATAACGACTTAAAATAATTGCACGAAAATGTATCTTATTTACTTATGCTAATATATGTAAATTTTACATGTATTAGCATAAATAGATAAGATATGTTTTGTTTGTGCAATCACTTTGAACTTATTGCAAATCAACTAACCATCGTCAAAATCCACTGGTTTTTCCTGGAATAAATTCTTCAAATTCTTCTTATTCTTCGTCTGCTCAACTTTATTCTCTTTGCCAGCCTTAGTCAATAGTTGTTCCTTTTCCTTCTTAGTACCAAAAATCTTGTTGTCTTCTTGTTTACGCTCTTTTAATTTACCCTCAACATCATCTCCTTTGGTAGCTTTCTTAGGAGCTTCTACTTTTGTTGCTAATGTCTTTTTAGCTGGACTTGTTTTCTCAGATACAACTTGTCCATTAACAGCTTTCTATAACAAAATGTATAATATACTTGATAAAGTTGTATATAGTATATGACATCTAATATTAAAATGTAACACAACTTTTTATAACATTGAAAGGAGTATATAAATAATACTTTTATCATTTGTCAATAAAATTAAATATTAAATTAACATTTAAATTAAATAAAACTTACATACCCTTTATTATATTTATTGTTAAACAGAGTTCTCTTTTTTATCACATATGTTCATTTAAAAGTTCATTTAAAAATAGATGGTCTAATTATAAGTTTTATTTATTATGAAGAGTCCTAAGTATTCTAAAAAATTTTTAAGAATAATTCCTCACATTTAATTCAAGATGAAAACTTTATATGAATCATATGTCCAAAACGACGTAGTTTCAAAGATACCCGATATTAAGGTTGAAGAAAAACTTTCATTTTTTCCAAAAATGTTGAAAACCACTCAAAATATTTTAATGAAACTTTGAATACGCTTCAAGAGCATTAAGACTAATCTTTTGGGATTATATATTATTTTTTTATTTAATAATAGACAGACCCAAAAAAAGATATGCAGGTACCTCTTTGAAAATAAGCTATTTGAGACATATGGTCACATAAAAGGTTTTCGTCTGAATTAATTAACGAATCACTCTCAAAATCTCTTGGAACATTTAAGGAGAATCCTATATAAATGTCATATTTAGTGTCAAAAAAGCTATAAGTATTTAAGTATTAAGGAGTAAGCAATTTTAAAAAGAGAAAGAGAGCAAATAATTCGGTAGAAAGTGTTGATAAAAAGATCTATTTAGCAGTGAACGGCAAGATCGTGTGAGCAATATCCCGGTCTGGGGACACGATGGGAAACGCCACGGACCACGCTGACAAAGCAAACAGATTTCGTCGCGGCGTTACGTCACGAACAGGAAGGGAGAGGGGGGGAGGAAAACAGCCACCTCGCGAGATCACCCTCTTGAACCAGAGGGACCAGCTGATTAGCGGGTGTGTGTGCGTGTGCATCGACTCGCGCCCACAAGCGAGCCACCATATGGTGGGTGAACGTGACGTGTCTATGGGGAGAAAAGAACATGGAAGCAAAGGAAAGACACAGAAGGAGAGAGGAAAGGAGAGTGGAGAGAAAGGAGAGAGGTCAACGTCGAACAACGTTTTACTAACCTTTTCACGGATCTTGCCACGCTTCCTGGAAAGTTTCCGGTCCACATCGGAGCCCGAGGAGAGCTGCGCAAACGGCGGCTGCTCGGCTTTCTTGAAGCCAAAGGCAAATACGAGAATGGCGCATATCAGCACGATACCCACAGGGATAGCGTACACGTATTGCGAATGCTGCAGCAGCAGACCGATGTGATCCATAGCGACGCACGGAATGCGTTGTTCGCAGCAGAAGCAATGAGCGTGACGACCGGACAACCTGTGCGCGTACCCGCCCCGCGGCAACAATATGCAGACGACGCACGAACGATGACAACGGTGACGACACGATGACGACGTTGAACTAGACGGCTGACACGACGTGGCGCGCAAAGCGCAAACCAGATCACTCAACAATGTGGCATGCGCGTGCTCTGGTGGAAGCGCGGCGAACTACAGTCTGCCAGGTGGCCGACCACCGAGCGCTGACGCGGCTGTGACGCATTCGCGACCACAATATATACAGTAGCGCAACTCTCCTGATTTTGTTTCCCAAAATAGAGTGCGCATGTGCGAAATAAGTAAGTTGCCCAGTAACGTTATTTAAACTTCTATCTCACTTCTTCCTTTTTCTGGTTCTCTCTTTCAGGATCACTTAAATATGTTTCTCTTTAAACGATTTAAGTAAATTATTTGTTTTCCAGCTGGATTACTTTCGTTTTAGCTAAAAAAATCTGCGTTTTGTGTGATGCAATTCTAATAATTTATTAAAACACAAGTGATTTAGCAGAAAAACAAACATCGTGTACTGTAGTCATTAATTAAAATATTTTTACAGTATAATACATTCGTATCATACAACATTTACATAATTTTATATCTTCTTATTTTTGTATTTTTTTATTTTGCAGTGCATTACAATTATAAATCTATTTCTTTTAATTTTATTACATTTAGATTAAATTTCAATGTACAAACGACTAGAAAGAGAGAGAGAGAGAGAGAGAGAGAGAGAGAGAGAGAGAGAGCAACTGAGAAAGAAATTCAGATGACACTACTGGGGAACTTACTTACTTCGTGCATGCGCACTTCATTTTGGAAAACACTAATAAAGGTACCGACAGAGTTGCGCTACTATATATATTAGATGTAGTAAAAAGAAATCCATTATTTTTCCATTCAATTTCATGCAAAAATAATGGATTTCTTTTTACTACACCTAATACTATGTCGCGGCCACTTGCGGCTTGCGGCTCATCAAACACGCCTCGCACTTGCACATGCGCATTGTTTACAGCTTAGCGCGCAGTGCTGTAGCCATTAGGTTAGGTCCACATGGCATCATTACATTAAAGTAATGATACCATGTGGATCACGAAGTCTGCGTGCCAAACCAGACAACAAGGAGGTGCGAGAAATCTCAAGAAAATAGAAATGAGGTAAAGTATTTTAGGTCAGAAAATGAATCACAATAGATAGAGTCAGAAAAAAGGCCCACACAAAAAGATATGTATTCGAAAATTTAGAAGATCTTGGTTAGACGAAAATATCTTTAAAGATTGGTTGGCAGAGAATGAATAAAGCTTGGCGTAAAATTTGTAATATTTTACTTAAATGTTGTCGATATAATTTATCAAGGCATGCCGAATAGTTTCTCATATAGATAATGTAAATAGTGTTAATGTAGAAATTGATATCTCACAATAAGAGGTATGTCTAATTTCTATATATTTATAATTCTACTTCTCTTTGGGGCGATTAAGGACGCCAGTTTCATGAATGGATTAGATATACTAACGTTTTAAATTACGCTCATGCGCGAGGGGCATGTCTGACTGGTCTGGCAGCACTGCCTTCAAGATGCCGCGCCGCACCGCATGCGCAACAACTTCACAAGGGTGCCGCGCAAGAAATACGCAGTTTTTCAAGATAATATTCGATATTAAACTTTAAATAATAAAATTTAAATAAATATTGGATTAAATATATATAAATTAAATACAAGTTATGAATATAAAATTAAAAAACAATAAAATTTTTCATTTAATTAAATGATTCCTTGATGAAAATTTTTCTTAAAACTTCATATAATTTTTTAGAATGTAAATTTTAGAATTACTGAATAATTTTATAATTTTGTTTAGAAACTCCTCTGATTTTTTTAAATACATAATTGGGAG